TATAACATCCAGTTTTCAGTTGCATCTTAACCTTGACATATTTTAACCCCTGAACCATGCACAGTCCTGATCTCTAGATGCTTTTTATTTGGTGGGGAAAGTCATATGAAAAGGGAATGATCAAGAAAGGTTGCTCTCCATGTCTTTAAAAAGCAAACTAACCACTGGGACATTTTGAACTACATTTTTGGGATGCTTTAGTTTGTTTAATGTATCAGTATGCAATCTGAAAGCTGACTTGACTATGTAGAAGGCTGAGTATAAGATACAGTTTTCTCTTTTGATGAATATCCACTTTCAGCTGGCAGAGTTATATCAAACATGCAACTGATTGGGGAAAAAATATGGATAAGGGAAGGGCCAGGCTGCTCTCTAACTGATTGAGAAGTCTGAAGTTTTTGTGTCCTGTTACGGTTAAAAAAAGTTAGTTAGTGAAATATAAAGGTAGTCTCAAAATGGAGAACTTGTTTTCATATATGACATAACTGTACTGGAGCTGATTTCTACAGGCAGTTAAGAATTAGATAACACCATCAAGAGTGGACGTTTATGGTTAGAAGTACTCAGTTGTTGTAATTACAGTGGGGTTTTCAGGAAACCTTAGGATTTATGTGATTTTTCTAAGTTGGAGATTAGAAGATGAGACCAAATGTCAGATTACTAGAAACAGACATATTGTAAACCATTAGTTATGAATCATTTGTAAAGAAAGAACTCATTTTTTTCTATTTAGATTTTTTTTTGAATTTAGGTGCTTATTATGATGTCTTAAAATATCCTTAATTAAAGTCAACATAAAGTGTAAAACATCTTTTGGTTTTGGTATAATGAGGAACTACTGAGGTTTTCTTGAGACTTTCTGTAAAATAATGTTTAGGCTCTGTATAAAAAGTACTCAAATGTGCATTGTACCTAAGGAACATAAAAGTTTTAAGAGTTTTCTTGATTTCCTTAAGTTGAAATAGACTTGAAGAATAACTTGTTTTGGCTTTTGTCAAGTGATAAGTAACTAATTTGCAAAGTCGGTGTTTAGTAAACCAATGTAACATTTGCTAATAAGATGGTAGGATAAATCAGTTTTTAATTGAGTTAAATAGATGTTTAATCAAATGCATGTTCTTTCTTGCTAGATTTGGATATTTCAATCAAATTAGATTTTTTTCAAATTCATCTGCAGTAATGAAGTAAAGATATTTTTTTTCCATCAGTTAAATTAGATATTGTCACATTTTATTTTCATATTTAAAAGGAAAAACAAATAAAAAGTCACAGTAGTAGTATGAAATTTAGTACTACTGGACTACTTCAAGTTCTTCACATTTTAACTTTAATGAAAGCTCCTTAAACACTGCATTTCCCATACTGTAAAAACCAGACAAACTTCTTTGCAATCTCTTATTAATCAGCAGCTCTGAGCCTTTAGCATAGTTCATTCTTATTTTCCTTTACTACTTTTATGGCTGGTGAGGCATAGGAGGACTATGAAAGCACTCAGTCTACTTGGGAAATAGTTTTGCTATACATAGGGAATACAATAAGTTTTTATCAGGAAATTTCTGATGCAAGTGGAGTTGTTAGGTAGTGTGAATTCGTTCACTCATACATTCAAAGTAGTGCAGTCTTAAATTGGTCAAATTGATTTCTGAACCACTGCTGTTTTCTTTAATAGCAGTTCTCTGGGGTTAAGGTGAATCCCACAGTGCTAGCCAAATGGAGAGTGGAAAAAGCTTTCAGAAATTAAAGGGAAATATTCTTAGTTTTGGCTCTGTACAAGTGTTAGAACAAGCAGTATTCCTCACAATGGGTTATTTGTTGGGAAACACAAAGTGATAAAGAGTGTGATTGGGTGAGAGTATGAGACAAAGAGCATGAGAAATGTGGAGTTAGATGTTAAGTGTGGTCTTCTGAATTTGTCAGATGTCTTGTTCTGATAATTCTGTTTGGTAGTCTGTCTGGCCTGACAGGTAAGAGAAGCAGTAGCTGTGGATACAGCTAGATTCTGACAAAACTTTTGAGACTGTCCAAGTAGAAGGCTTACTCTGCTTTGTGTTCCTGAGCTGTGGTCTTGCTCATCACTGCTCTGTCCCTCTTGACAAAAGAGTCGAAATTATTTTTTCCAATGAGTTCTGAACTAGGACTTTAGGATGATTGTCTGAGGAACTGAATACTGACATTGATCCATCGGTACAAAAGCTAGGGGATCATTTGTTAAAGCAGTAATTGGCTTAATCTAAGATAATTGATTACTGATGAGTCAATTAAGACTGCACCTCAGGTGGGGTCCTGCAGAATTCTCCTTCATCTTGAATCTCTCATTCAAGAAGAACTTGGGTGGTAGGTTAAAAAATATGCTTAAAAAAAGAAGTCAGTCATACCAAATGCTTTTAAAGATAGAATTGAAATTCAAAGCTGTCTTGAAATTACTGTGCCTGAAGTCAACAGTGTGGAATTCATTACACGAATGTCGAGCCCCCTTGTTGTAGGGGGACGTAAGAGTTGCATATGAATACAAAAGTAGGGAAAAGTAGCAAGGCCAAGGTGAAGGAGAAGACTATTTGGGGTCAATGAATGTTGAAACAAACATAAGAACTGAATTTTTGGGGGAGGGAAAGAAGCAGCTTGGGATGTGCTAATAAGAATGTGGTTTATAAGATAATTGTTCTGAGTAACTTAACCTTGTTGAGGTCTCAGTTGAAGAATTGCCTTGCCTAGGCATCCTGCTTTTAGAAATGAAAAAATTGGAGGACCCCAGATAGGTAATGAGAATGATCAGAGGTTTGGAAGGAATAGCTATCCAAAAAGATTCAGAGGGTTTATACATACAGTTTGGGTTGAACTGCCTTGGAATAATTTATGAAGGTTCTGGAAAAGGAACTGGCATAACATTTAACGGAATGTGTTGCGTTTAAATCAGTGATTTCTCAACTAGAAATTCTAAATAGTGTTCAGACAACATATATAAAGTTGGAAACTTAAGAATAATACAGATTCCTCCTTTTTTTTCTTGGTATACTATATTATTCTATTTAATTTTTTTAATGCAAATTTTCTTACTAACTGATTATTCTTTTAGTCAAAATCCAAAATCATAAAACATTAGAGGGTACTGTTTTTCTTGGGAGATAGAGGATATAATAGTCAGCTTTTATGTTGGTTAAAAGATTGTTTTAAAGTCAAGTTTGCAATATTATTTTACCATTACTGGTGGAATGACATAGATATCTAAAGTTTTAGTGTGCAGGAAGCACGGTTGTGGAGAAAGGCAAGTAAGATGCTGTTTATGTAAGACGGTATAATTTTGATATAATATGTGAAATGTGTTACATGGAAGAATTTAATAATATTTCAAGGCTGAGCTTTATCACTTGTAGCTAGTACATTTCTTTATCCAGTCTTAGTGAGTATTCCTTAATTTCTTCTGATTCACAGGTTTTTTTATGTTCACAAGTTCCTTTAGTCTTTATTTCACACCCCACCACCCCCTGGCAGTTGATTCAGACTTCATAATATGTCTTTGTTTTCTGAGCTTGCAATACTAAATAACTTAGGGAGTGTGTATTCCCTATGAATAGTTTAGCTACTGTGAAACATGGTTATTTTTGCTGAAAAACTTTAATTTGCTTCTGTTCATAATTTCTGCTCACTCTTAAGTCATTTCTGGTCTTTGCAGTTTTATAAGGATTTCAAATATGTTGAATTGTAGTACTCCAAACCAGTTTTAATTAGCTGAGGAAATGAAAGCCAACAGCTTCTTCACAATTCAGTTGAATAGCTTTGTTTATCAGGATCTAAAATATTCAGACTTCTGTTCTTACTGCAGAGTTCCTGGTCTCTTAAAATCTTTGAATTTAATGTTCAGTCTGAGATTTCTTAGTTTATCTATCCTTTGAGCGTGGTGCTTCATCTTTACACTGCAGTTGTCACAGGGTACTGCTGTATGTTCTCAATGCTACCATCACTTAGTGCCTTTTTTTTATTTATGTCATAACTTCCAGAATGTGTGATTGAAAATAATGAAAGGGAGAAACCCCTTGAAAATAATTAGGAAATAATGTTATGTATGGGTGGTATTACTTTGTTAAGCGTAGGCGGGGGAATGTCTGTTGAAGTTAGCCAATTAAACATGAAATACTTGCTTTATTTGAATGTACAACTGAGTAAATTATGCAGCTTACAAAAAGTGCTTTTGTTGTGTTTGTATATACACATATATTTTTATATATATACATATTTTATATGTGTGTCGATATATACATGTGTGTATATATATATATGACAATACAGTGTTTTAAAAAAATGTTGCCCATGAAACCTAAAGTGAGAATGTAATTTGAGAAGCCCCATTTCGTAGTTATGAAGGACATGCTATGGCATGGGTAGGTAAAGAAGGGTTTCTCTAGATGTGCTTCCCAGATTGAGCCCACCAGAACAGAATGGAATGGTGAAAAAGAATGGTTTTTGCAGGCTCCTTAGGTGTGGGCAGGGAGCAATGAAATAGTGGGTGCAGAGGCCTTTCCTGAAGGTTCTGTGTCATTGTGGGACTGGACCTGCACCTGGCACCTGAGCTGTCCCCCCCCACGGAAGTTGTGTGAATGTCTGGTCATGCAACCGGGCCATGTGTGTTTCCGTGACATGATGCACATTGTTGGCCTATGGATGAACATACCTGGTCATGTTAGTGGTGAGGGATAGGGGTTGGTAGTTTCTCTAAGAGCTCATAGAATATGATGAGGAAGAAATTAGGAATACCACTGCCGTACACTGCGCAATGTTAAATTTAAAAGACCTAGTTTCACTTGAAACCTCTATCCCCCAAAGTTGGGGTCACATAGGTATTTGATATATGAAGGCAGTAATTTCCTCATTCTTCAGCCTCAGGTGTGAACCCTGTGGTGTTCTAAACCATTAAACACTGATATTTTTAGAGACAGAAATACATCATGTTAAATTTTTTATTAATTTTGTTTACTTGCTTTTATAGAAATATTTTTTTTTTTCAGTTTAACTTTGTTGGAAGAATCCTTGGGCCCAGAGGACTAACAGCTAAACAGCTTGAGGCAGAAACAGGATGCAAGATAATGGTCCGAGGGAAGGGCTCGATGAGGGACAAAAAGAAGGTAAGCTCGTGATGGGTAGCATAGTTTCAGATGCATAATTTTGTTTTCTTACGGAGGGTAAGCTCACGTCTCTCATTCTTACTTGTTGTGTTCTTACTATATGCTTTTTCATTATCTAGTGTCATTTACAGACTTAGTACATAACACAAGCTATCCTGAAAAAGTTAAATATCTGTGCTCCATAATGCTGCAATTGAAAGTCTAACTAGCAATTATAAAGTATTCTTCAGTAGTAAGTGACTTATAATTGTGTCATGTTTCACAAGGTAAAGGTAAAAATTGAATTTAAATGTATCTTTCTAAGAAAAAGCTGTTAACCTCAAAGGTGGTGGTAATAATTTTCTTGTATTGAATTACCAAAGTAGTGACTTGTGCAACAAGTGTGGATTAAAAAAAAAAAAGTTTAATGTATTTCTGGCAGTCAGTTCTGTCTAAGTGAACCAAAAAGCACTGTGTTCCTGGTTTTCTGTTCAGATGGAGCTGCAGTGTAATTAGGGCTGTTCCTTGCCCCAGTTATGTAATGTGCTCCGCCTGTATAAACTGCATGATAGAGCCATCCTGAATGTCAGGTTGCTCTTGTGGTAACTATTTTTCTAGGTTTATTTTCTAGCTACTTCCCTCCACCTCTGACTACTGCTACTTGAATTATACCAACTTCTCCACTGCAGTTTTAAGTGTGCGCTTAACATGGCTCTTTTCCTCTTTGTTCCCAGAAGTATTGTTTATTTTGGTTCTTTTGTAGAAAACTCCCTCTTTTCCTTATCTGATCAGCCACATAGTGCATTCTCTTGATACATATGTGGCACATACCAGTTACAATAGAAAACTAATGTCTACCCGATTAAACATTTCTTTCTTCCAGAGCTCATCACTGTAACTTTCAAATTTCATTTGATGCCTCTTGTTTTCATAATATGCTGTAGTACTGTCACCACCCTTTCTCTTATTCCAGCTATGACTGTTTTGGATTTTGAGATTTCCAGCTTCTGAGCGAAGGTCCAGTCTAACCTAGAGATGTTTTGGTTGTCTAGGTTCTGTAGAAGTAAGAGGATGTGACTATCTGTGGTTTTGTTAGATCTGTAACAACCTTCATTCTTTGAATGCATTTTATATTAAGTCCCACTGAAGATATGGCCAGCTAGCAATCATGTTCTGTTTCTACAACATCAGCAGGGCAGGCACTTAGGCAGCACCAGCCTGTGTAGCACATGTTTGTGCACCACGTCTTTTGTTATTCTCGGCTGCCAGCTGGGATAACAGCACCTTCCCCAAAATGTTATGTGTTCTGACCTATCCATTCAATGTTCATGTAGGTCTTGGAGTTTGTGAAATGTCTGTTACAGAATCACAGAATGGTGGATGTTGGAAGGGATCTCTGGAGGCTCCCCCCCGCGAGCAGGGTCACTTAGAACAGGTTGCCTGTGACCATGTCCAGATGGCTGTTACATTTAGAGTCCTCCCACCACTGTGCTTCAGAACCTGTCCTGTCCTGTGCAGAGTCATATCTCTAGATAGCCTGGGCAGGTTTACTGTCTGGGGAAGTGGTATTTGTGGACTGATTTCCTCCACTCTCCATACTTTTTTTTCATTATTATTAGTTTTTGACTGCTTGGAGGAGAATAGGCAGTGGGAGTTACTGGAGTTTTGTATTTAAGAAAAAGCTTAGAGGAACTGAGACCTTCTGAGTGAGTCATGCGATTTTTTTTTTAAGTTTAGTAAGAAAAGCTATTTTCAACAAGGACAAGCATGGGAGATAGCTGGAACCTTGTATACATTAAAAAGTACAAACTGATTCAACCAGCACTTGAATGCCCATTACATCTTCTAAGTTGGTTGTCTCATATTTTTGGAGTACAGAAGTTTGGAAGACAGAAGTTTTCTATCAGCCTGCACCTCGGGAAGTCTTCCATCATCCCCATATCACCATTGGCGAATCAGAGCTCAAATCAGTCCAGCAGTTTAATTACCTAGGCAGCCTCATCTCCTCGGACAGTAAGATTGACGGAGAGATAGACAACAGGTTAGCAAAGGCATATAGTGCCTTCAGAAAGCTTCATAAAAGAGTCTGGCGAAATAAACACTTGAAGAAAAGTACCAAGATCAGTGTTTACAGAGCCATAGTGCTGTCTACTCTCTTATATGGATCCGAATCATGGGTCATTTACCACCACCACCTGCGACTCCTAGAACGCTTCCATCAACGCTGTCTCCGTACAATCCTAAACATCCACTGGTCAGATTACGTAACTAACATGTCTGCTCTAGAACAGGCAGCAGTTAGGAGTATAGAGGCCATGTTGCTGAGAACACAGCTGCGTTGGGCAGGGCACGTCTCCAGGATGAAGGACCACCGCCTCCCTAAGATCCTGCTCTATGGAGAACTTGCCACTGGCTGCCGCAAGAGAGGAGCCCCAAAGAGAAGGTACAAGGACTCCCTGAAACAACATCTCAGTGTTAGCCACACTGATCTCCATCGCTAGTCTACTCTGTCCTCCAGTCGGGAGGTCTGGAGACACACCATCTGTAACGCTGCTGCTTCCTTTGAGAACACACACAGGATCACCATTGAAGAGAAAAGACAATGCAGAAAGAATTGTGTCTTGCCGATACCATCCAAGGAGTCTTTGTGCTGTGCCTTTTGCAACCGGTCTTGTCTGTCTCGCAGTGGCCTCTTGAGCCACCAGCACGCTTGTAGCAAATGTGGGTAGAACCCTTCCCAAATCTTCATTTGTGAAGCCTAGCCATGATGATGATGATGACTGCAGCTAATATCAAATGTATTTGAGTGATATCATAGTATATTTTAATACCAAATAGTATGATACTGGTTGTAAACCAGTGTTGAGTACCAAATACTTTTCTTTATAAAACTGATTTTCATGCCATTCATTCCTAATCTTTCTAAAGTTTTCCTGAGGTGATTTGTATTGGTTATTAGTTTATATATTTCAGAATGGCCTTTTTGGTGTCTACACCATTGTTGATGTAATAGGAAGAATTTCACTATCCTTGGTTATGATGCAGTCTGTGATGCACACTAATAAGATGTTCCTTGTAAAAATAAAGATTTGGAAGCTGTATTTAAGATGTGGTGATCACAAACAGACTAAAGTAAGAATGAAAGATATTTATCAGTTTGGGGTGTAAGTACACTTTTTGCTATTGGCTCTTGCTTTTTTTTTCTGATTTATACTTACATGTGAACTTTCTAGTCTTGCAGTGCAAGATGATCAACTTCCTTGACAGTCTGTGTCGTTTAATGATAACTACCTTTTTTTCATTTTCTCTTTGAAGCTTGTACTTCAAAATGCTAATGTACTTCCAAGTTTAAAATAGAGAAGTATTTTTTTCATGGAAGGTTACACTTACTCTTTTTAAAAACCTTTCCTTCATTTAGAGTCAGTGTTGTTTAGAAAAGTCAGTACTTAATGAGGTTTTTCATTGAATTTTTTGAAATTTGGGGGAGATAAGAAATGCAGGTTAAGTTTTATGTGTATTTTGTAAGTATATTTCATATCTGCAAACCTGATTTCCCAATGCTAACTATAAAAGAAACTGTGTTGGTTGTGGTAAGGAATTAATTACTAAACCAGTGTCAATCTAATGTGACAGCTACATGGTACTGAATCTCCTTGAGTAAACTGTACATGTACTTTCCTACCTTGCTCGTGGTTCCAGAACCCACGAGAAAATATGAAAGATGTGCTGGAAAATAAACCATCCAGATATGCTCTGTAGAGGATTTTACGCTACTGTGTGAGCCTACGAACAGAAGTAATGAATTAGAAATCTTTGTCACATGGCCAAAACATTTGAACTGGCATCACATCTTGAAACTTGCTGACAGATTTCCCCCAGAAAGCAAGGGAAATCCTCAAATTGTTTGTATCTGAAGCTCAGCTGGTAATCAGAACATCTCTCTAGGCAGTTTTCAACAAATTTAAAATCAAGACCTTAATTACTGAGAATATTGTGATTAGAGCCTGGGGGTACTTAAAAGACATTATTGGGGAGAGGAGAGGAGTTGCAGGCATTCATCAAAAGCTAATGAATGTGTAACTTTATTAAGACCAAGGATTTTTTTGCTTAGTCTAAATGTACCTTTCATTAAGTACTGAGGAAAACTAGTGACTTGCACACCAGTTAAAAAGTACTCCTTAATAAAGTGGAGACTGTCCAGTGGTGGAAAAGCAAAACATTTTTTACATGAATTCCACAAAACAGGAGTCAAACGGAGTCAGCCCAGTGCTCTTTAGTGCACGTACTGCCATTATTTCACTTAGAGAGGTATGAAGTCTTACAGCATCAGGCTGCTGGCTTGTGCCAGTCTTGGTCAACTCCACTGTTTTTTCCCATTTCTTCCTACTTTTAGACAAGAATCTCCTCTAGAACAGTGTGTGACAAGAGAGCATTAGTCATTTTTACTTCATGAGGAAGCATCTCATTATGAGAGACAGAATTTTTTTCCTTAATTGATTATTTCAATTAGAAAGGCAGGCAGCTATGCGGTTCTGAATTTGAAGAACTCTGTGCCTTCATCTACTGTAACAGCTTCAAATCTGTTGCAGTTCATATTAGAGCATTTGAACTGAGTTTTGGTTTCTGGCCTACAGTTTACTTGTTCCTACATCACTGTTCACCTTGAAAGCAGAAGTTACGTAAGGTTTCATGAAAGACAAGCTCTCAGTTAGTACTAGTCTTGACCTTTGAGTTGTGTAGAGTTGTTACAGTAAATAGATAATTCCATATCTTTGAACTCTCTGGTTTTCTGTTTTTATAGTAAGGGTAAAAAGGAATTAGAAACCACCTGTCCTTGGTACCTGCACGAAGTTTGAGGAAAATTATTAAGAGTAGAAAAATTTAGCTGTCTTGTGATCAGGATATTTTCTTACATTTACATGCTGTATAGTATTATATATTTTATTATTTGAATGCCTTTTAGTCTCTGAAATACCATCTGATACATTTGATTTCCAGTTGAAGGTCTTAAACATTCAGTT